AGAGAGAGAGAGAGAGGATTTTCTTAAGCATAATGTTTACTCTTAAGGAGGATGTGGTAAGAGATAGTTGATTTTTAATTGTTGGAAATACAATCATTCTAATAATCAACCGTAAAAGCTAATGATCTCGAGGGAAAATGAATTGGGAGATAGTCAGGATACCCAAAATATTAAATCAATTTATCTCTTTTTCTTAGTTTGGTTAGATTTAAATAATTTTAGTTTTGTCAATCAAAATTCAAAGTTTGTTGAAGTCCCACAAGCACTATTCAGCCTCTCTTAATGTCATTACTGATCCTAATAGATTAATCATATAAAACATGAAAGTTGTATTTGGAATTTGTGTTCCTAAAATTTGCAAGTTTTATTCCTATATAATCCTATTTCTAATTAGAATTTAACTATATATATTCCAATATAGTTAGTTATATTCTGAAATAAATGTGTTCCTAAAAAGTCCAAAATTTTTTTTTGAGTAAATAGCCCCATATGTATTAAAGATCTCCTTGGTTTTAGGATCTCGTTTCGATTTCAACATGGAAGCGGAACTTTCGGAGGGTGAAAGCGAAGAGAGGGCTCAAACCAAGAAACAAGAGATAGAGGAGAGGGCTGATTGGTCGAACCTCAAAGCTGATACGTTGAAGCTCATCGCCGATCGACTGATCATCAATATCACCGACTACATCTGTTTTCGTTGTGTTTGCAAGCCATGGCGTGCCACCAACCCTCCGAGCCGCTCGCACCCTCCCCAGCTCCCGTGGCTTGTTCTGGGATGCGAAGATGACTTCGACCGTCTCGTCTTCTACTCCTTCTCGGACTCGAGAGTCCACAAGATCAAGCTTCCAACGATCGGTGACATGGTCGTCATCAATGGCTCGTCCGATGGATGGCTCGTCCTCGAAGATAGACCTTCCTCCAGCATCTCTCTTCTAAATCCTCTCACAGGTGTTCAAATCCATCTCCCATCGGCCCCACGTCAACTGAGGAGCACTCATGACAATGCCGATGCGAGCATCACAAAGGAATTCATGCAAGCACTGATTTGGAAGATTTCGATGTCTTCAAACCCACTGGCGACCGATCAAGATTGCACCATGATTGTTATCGCCTCTTGGAACCGTGCTCTCCTATCCATTCGCTTCGGGCACGACGATGACTGGAGCTTGCTAGATGACACGACCGTGTACCTCGATGTCATCTACTTCAAAGGAAGCTTTTATGCTATAGATTACACCGCACAAGTCTTCGTGTTCGACTCCCAACTCAAGAAGGTGGCCATCACCGAGCCTCGACAAGAATCGACCAACACATTATGGCAGTTCGCAGAGTTATCAGGTGAGCTCGTTGTCCTTGGAAACATGGTGTCCGAGAACCCTATCGTCGATGAGTGGGAAGGCACTATAACGTTCACGACGGAGAGGATCGATATCTTAAAGTTGAACATGGAAGGTTTGATATCATCGTCACTAGAGGAGACAAAGAGCTTAGACGACCACATACTTTTCTTAGGCGTTACTTCGCGATCTATCTCACGCCCAGCCGCCCAATACCCACATGGAAAACACAACACTATCTACGTTCATGAGGTTTATTCTTGGCACGATGACGAACTTGCTTGTTGTAGGTCAGGAGTATATGACTTAGAGACTGCCTCTTTGAGGCCTCTACCATATGACCATGATAATAGTGAAGTAATATTGGATTGCATCATAAACATTTGGCACGAGCCATGCCTATTTTAGTATACCACATCTTCGTTGATGGATTACTATGTTGTATTTCTCTATGGGTTTCGTAATTTTCTTATTTATAATATTGGTAGGATCTTCCATATAATCAAAATGTTTGTTATACAAGTGTTTTTTCTCTCTTTTTATTTCTTACTCTCATTTTAGCAATAATCGCATTGCATGATCATAAGTTTCGGCCTACTCGATCATTCGACTATCATTTTTCGTCTTAGGAGGTTGCATCACTTTCATGATTTTCATCCATTGATTTTCTTTTTTGGGTTCAAATTTATTATATGATTCCTCCATTTACGATTTGAGTGTGTGTGTGTCTCAAATTTTCAAAAGTATGTAAAGACTTATCTTCCGAGTAGTCTACTAAAATAAAGATTGCATACAATATAGGTAAAAAGCCATTGCACATTCCTTCCTTCGATGTCCCTGTGTGATATCGGATGAAAAGATACATTTTCTAAATTATATATTTCGGGCTTACAATACAAATGTTGTTCGTATTATTTGATTATTTCCCTTGAACCATGACCAGTAAAGCAAAGGCATCACAAGTTTTCTTCTCGCTATCAACAAGCAATTAGTGATGAGGTAGATAAATTGTTAAGAGTAAAGTTTATTACCGAGGTATAGTACCCCTTAAGTGGTGTGTTGACTATACCGATCTCAATAAGGCCTGCATGGTAGAGAAATCTAGGGCGTTAACAAATGCACAACAGAAGAACAGAAAACAAAAATCTCAGATTTCTCAAAAAATATGTTTATCATCGTACGAAAATTAGTGCGTAAAAACTCACGAAGCTAGAAACTACCTGAGAGATAGTTATGTTACCTAAGGAGATCGTAAATCCCTGAAATCCTATGGATCTATGGGAGAGGATGAAGGAGGTCAATTGTCCTCCTCTCTAATGGTGATTCACACGGTAGGAACTATGAAGATGCTCCTCGAATCACTACCCAAATCTCCACATGCCCTTGTTAGTTGAGAAGGAGAAGAGGGAGATGAGAATAGGAGGTGGCAGTTAAAAAAGGCCTAGCTTATAGTTCTTTGGTTCTCTCCTATTTATAAAGGTCCCCTATCAACTTAACCCTAATGGATCGTGCTCTATTGGGTATTAAATCTCCATCTAATTACTCAAGCATCTTAGATTAGTAAGTTTCTATCCAATAATATCTTATTAACACTTATTGGATCTCATCTATGAGATCCAATAATTTAGTGGCTTAATGGATATCTAATAAGATAAGGGCTCCAATGAATATCTTATATCTGAACCTCTACTCGTCGCAACACCTACCATATGTGTGTGATCCTCTAAGTTCAATATCGAGCTGGTCGTAAGTCATACCTGTTAGAACTTCTTCTGGCTTAGTGAATTATTATCTCTATAATAATTTAGTCATCTCATCGACTACAAGTGTACTAGGCCACTATGTCACAGTCCCCACATGATATAAGAGAATCCAATCATTTTGATATATATATCCTCAATTACTGTATACCTATAGTCTCTCATCTATCTAATGTCCCTGAGATCATATACCGAGCATAGTGCTGTCAGGCCCATATGGTTTTTCCTTGAGTCTTGCTCTAATCGGATTCTCCCGAAGAACTCTTTCTCTCTCAATCTAAATAACCATGGCCAAAGATTTGTCTAAGCAAAAACATATAAAATATTTATCTCATGATATCAAGAGTGGATGATCCTCTATCAACACTTAATAGTCCTCAGAAAGATAGCTACCACTCTCGATGACCGACTATACTAGATCTAGAACTTCCAAACCTATAAATCTGGTATCAAAGAGTAGAGTACTAATGCAGGACAACCTTAGTGTCTCAAGTCTAAGAACTAGGTATACCTATCGGGACGATAAAATCATTGTTTGATAATGAGGTATTATTAACCATTCAGCATTCCGTGAGTGGATCAATTAGTGAACTCATTCTCCAATGAGCACTTACACTGTAGCCCTAGTGTCCCCACACCAGCAACTATAAGACCAGTTGCCTCCATCACATGGATGAGTATATGACATATCAGTCTATTTGGTTATCTCAATGTCCCTCTCAAGTATCCTATGACTAGGATTTTTTAGGCTTTGTGATTAAAAGTGAATCGATCTCATTATCGTGATATCATCACGATTTGATTCTCATTGCATAGGTCCATGGATATAACAATATATTTATGCATCAAGCAATATAAAGTAAGAAAATATCATAATAATAATAAGCAAAAAGAGTGCATGTCATGTCACACATACTATCACTCACGTGATTGACTTATAAAGCACGTATGATTAGCATGCACGAAGGATAACTACCCCGTCCCTAGAATTGATTAGTTGTTCATGCTATCCTAATTCATGAGCCGCTCACTTTTATGTAGTTTTTGGTTTCATATCTAATTATCATATGTGATTTGATATAAATATGTTTTTGGGAAATCGATTTCTATTTTGTTTTGTTGCTGCGCATATGATGCTCTCCCAGGTTTCACAATAAGAGGAAGATTGAGGCTAAGAAGAGAAAGTTCCTAAAGATATCACAGAGGCTAAAATGAGATAATAAACCTCACCCCCCATGGCTAAGAGGGATTTATAAGATAAGGATTGACCTCTCGTCTCATGCATTAAAAATTAAAGATAAGTGTCTCAATGTAAAAAGTTGTAGGATATTTTATGGTGGTTAAATTAAAATGGTTAAATTTGTAGGATATCTTATCATAGACAAATGGTTAAATTAAAATTGTTAGAGGTGGTTAAACTCTTCTAGAATATTTTATGGAATATATCACTCATTTATTACCAAGTATAATAGCTTACTTTTTAATAGGACTATGAGGATCATTTTATACCATTTATTATTGTATTCATCTATCTCGAATTACTAACATAGGCGTCAGAAAAATTAAGTTAGGAAACTCCTGTCAATCTCGATCTTCGTATAGGTAACACTTTAAGAACTCGATATTTTCACCTTGAATGCATCTCAGCCACACATCAGAGATCCCTATGCACACGGGTCAGAATTGCATCGAGCTGACCAGGATATTGACAAAATTTTTTCATAACAATATCTATCTTGGTGCTAAGATCATGATCGGATGTAGCCTCTTAAGTTGGAAGATCAAACAAAATTATTAATGTCCCATAATGATTATTACTAAATTGAAAGAAAAAAAAAAATAAGTTGTTGCCATCACCATAAAGATATAGATTATGCTAAAAATTATTTACAAATATAAATATTCATGAAATATATCATGATACAGAGAATGTTATCCCAATGTATTAAAACAAAACAATTCAAGATATAAGAAGCAAACAAAACTAAATAGAAAAATAAGTTATTGAGATTCATAAAATATATCAAAAAAGTTATAATCCACAATGACGATAGTAAGATTTAGTTATTGTCTAAGGTGGTAAAAAAGAATATACTAAAATAAGGATGGTGTAAACCACATGGGTAACATTCCAGTACATATCCTTTCAAATCCATTATGTGGTGTTGGCATGAAGAAGGCATTCTCTAAATCATATATTCCATGCCTACAATATATATCTTGTTCTTCATCATCATCCATGATATAAACATGATGTATATAGATAGTATCATGTTTTCCACGAGGATATTGGGATATTGGGCATGAGATGGAGCGAGAATTAACACCTAGGAAAAGTATGTGATTGCCTATGCTCTTTGCCTCCTCCAGCGACGGCACTAGACCTTTCATATTCAACTTTAGGATATCTATCCTCTCTGTCATGAGAATCGTAAGATTCTCCATTGCATGGTCAACGGAGTTCTCGATCAATATGTTTCGAAGGACTATAAGTTCACCTGATAACTCTGTAAATTGCCATAACAAGTTGTTTGTTTCCCGTTGAGGACCGACGATAGCCACTTTCTCAAAGAATGAACTAAAGATGAACACCTGTGCAATTTCGTCTACAGCATATAAGTTTCCTTTGAAGTAAGTGACATCATGATACTTGCTCCTATCATCCAACAAAGTCCATAAATCATCCTCCCATAAACGGATAGAGAAGAGTGCATCATTCAAGGTGGAGATAATGACGATGATGCAATCATGATCATACATTGATGGGTTTGAAGATATTGCAATCTTCAATATGGATGGGTAATAATCTTCAATGTTTATTAAATAACTCGGGAGCGCTGGGAGATGGATACGAGCACCTGTGAGAGGATTTAGGAGAGAGAGGAACCGAGAAGTTTTATGATCAAGGACTAGCCATCCATCACATGAGCCAATGATGTGTTCATCATTTGTTGGAGGTCGAATTGAGTGAAATCTTTCATCTGAGAAGGAGTAGAAGATGAGACGATTGATATCGTAGTCACATCTCATGAGCAACCATGGGAGTTGAGGAGGGTGCGTGCGACCATGGTGGTTGACAGCATGCCATGTCTTGCAGACGCCATGAAAACGAATATAATCAGCAATGTCGACGGTGAGTTGATCGGCAATGAGTTGTAGTATATTCGTATCGAGATTTGACCAATCAACTCTTTCCTCTTCTTTCCCTTCTTCTTCTGTGCATTTAGCTCTCTTTTCTCCTTCACCCTTAAAAGGTCTTCCAACCATGTTGAAGGATGAAACACTATCCTAAACCCTAATTCAAGGAGATATATATAGATTCATTTACCCCCCCCCCCCCCCCCCAAAAAAAAAAATCTCATGTTTTGGGCTTCTACATGAGAGCAGCCCAATATCAAGAATTTAATATTTGTAAATATTAAATATTTGCAATTTTTTTTTTTGTATATGTATGGGAGTTGTCTTTCTAAAATATGAAAATTGTATTAGTAGAATATGAAAGTTACAATCTTCCTATATAGTTATATTCTTAAGTAGCTGTATTTCTAATTTAAATATGATGGTTGTTTAGGATTTACATGGATAGTTGTAATCCTAATATATTAGGAAAGTTGCAACAATATTACTAATGTGAGGATATTTGTATTT